CACTTTTAAATGAGCAAAAAGGGACATCGTTAAGTGAAATTCCCCCATAGAGAACATCGTTAAACGATGGGGGAAATTCCTCAAAAAAAACCATCGCTGTGTGAATTCATCATTGTATGAGCAATCGTTGTACGAGGCACCACTGTACTCCCGTATTCCATCCTGATCTTTGACTTGGTTTGTCCCTGTTTACTTCACTAGGAGGGTCCGACAGTAGACTACATCCTATCTTTACGTTGGTGGATTCCTTTACTAGATTTATGAATTTGTACCTTATCTGTCCTGTTACTTTGGTCTACACGCTCTTGTCATCCTTTTCCCTCTGCCCCTCCTCCTCCTCCTCTTTTATCTCCTCCCACTTCATCAGATCTAATTCCACCCACTTCTGTCTCTGCCTTCCTTCAGCCAAGAATACTTCAACCGCCTAGTTCCGCCCCATTTCTCCCTCGTCAATTTTAATAAGTTCTCCTACAACACATCGTCTCTTCTCTTTTGGTTGATTCTTTGGGGAGGACGGCACACTTGGTGACTCTCGCTCATAGGCACTCGCGACGGACATGCCCCAGATGCCTGCAATCGAAACAAACAGGTTGCCCGGCTTGTTCTTTTCTTGCCCCAGGAACGCTCTTGAACAGCCAATAGTCGATTGTCATTGGGCGCACCAGCTTTGGCCACATTGGCTCAAAGGGGCACCCTTTAGCAAGGTCTTGTGAGCTGGGAACTCCTCGTGGTGCAGCTCTGTTTCCTCCAGTCACCATCTTCTCACATGGCCACACCTTTTCCCAGGTCAGGAAGTTGTCTCTGGTGCCCTCTTCAGCCAGGCAAAAATCCTCTATCAGTTGGACCTCCTCTTCTAACTTTGTTGGATGATTTCTCTGGGCCCAATTCTTCAAGCTGCTCGCGAGAGTTGTAACCAACTGCTCCATTACCAATATCTCTTAAGATTTCCTCCTTTCTTTTCTCTGGGTTTGAGCCATCTTACTAGGTTTGCCTTCATTCTCTGAGCCAATGTTCAAGAATGCACGCTGTTCTTTCACGAAAAGAGAGGTTACTTCCCTGTAACTTTGGTTCTTCGAGTGGTCCTCTGTGAATTCACACTAATGGGTTATGTCTGTGCGTGCGCAGAGGCCTTGGAACATTCGAGAGCTTAAAGTAACCATTTTAGCACCTCCCCTCAAGCCCTCATGGTCCGCCTACCCTAACAGTTACCTCAGTTCCCCAAATTCCGCTGCTGCTCTAAGGCGAGACAGCCATGATGGAAAGAGGGGAGGACGGGCGGGAAGTGTGAATTCACAGAGGATCACTCGAAGAACCAAAGTTACAGGTAAATGACCTCTCTTTCTTCTTCATGGCCTCTGTGAATGCACACTAATGGGTGATTAGCAAGCTTACCTGTGACAGGTGGAGGGACATCATGGCAACACGGCAGCAAGAACCACACGTCCAAAGCAAGCATCCTTTTTAGCCCGGACATCCAGTCTGTAGTGGGATGCAAAAGTAGACGGTGTGGACCAGGTGGCAGCCCTGCAGACATCCTGAAGTGGGACGCCCTGCAGAAACACCGTGGAAGTCACTACTGCTCTGGCAGAGTGGGCTTTGACTGAGCATGGAAGAGGCTTGTGTGCCAGTTCGTAAGTCAAATGTATGGTCTGGACGATCCATCAAGAGATGGTTTGAGGTGACACCTGATGTCCCTTATGAGGCCGGTGAGGAGAGATGAACAAACGTTTGGAGTTCCTAAAAGAAGCAGTTCTTTGAACATAGTAAGATAACACCCTGCAAACATCAAGCAGGTATAAGGACTTCTCAGCAGGTGTAGATGGTTGAGGGGCAAAAGTCAGCAATATAATAGGTTGCCGAACATGAAAGCTAAGACTCCAACTCCCAGCTACTGGCAAAGGCTTCTGGACGTTGCGCTCCCAAAAACTCCTGGGTTACCCCAGGTTGGGAACACTTGATGTAGAGAGTAGAAATTCTGCTTTCCTCCCTGCAGAGTTTTTATTTCAGCTTATGTTTTCAGCACAGAAGGATGAGCTATATTTTATCACCTGTTTTTGTTCCCATCCAACAACTGTGGGACTTTAGAGGGATTCACCCAGAGAGAGGCTGTAAGAGAAAATGGCTCAGAACAAATGAAATATTCTAGGATGTATGTAATTTTTGCCCTGTATTTTAAAGTCCAGTTCAATGTGACTGATTAAATTTTAAGATCAGTCTGTCTGCATCATGAGATAATAATGTTGGCCTCAGACCTGTGATGCTGATGATGTCACAACCGGGTGAGTAAACTTGCTCACTGGCTTTCCCAGGAAATCTCCCTGAGGTTGGCTAGAACACCTGAAGACCTGGGGGGGGGGGGAGTACACCTGGACTGGCCATGTCTGAAGAAATGGCAAACAAGGAAAACCATAATCCTGAGGCTAAGTCAAAAAGTAGAGCTGAGGTAAAATGGCCTCTCTTTTTTTGTATTTAATAAATTTTATTTTCCCAACATAAAACTTACAAATATGTAACAAACAGCATCTTATATTTTTTTGTATTTAATAAATTTTATTTTCCCAACATAAAAGTTACAAATATGGAAGAAACAGCATCATATCTATCTATCTATCTATCTATCTATCTATCTATCTATCTATCTATCTATCTATCTATCTATCTATCTATCTATCTATCTGTCTGTCTGTCTGTCTGTCTGTCTGTCTGTCTGTCTGTCTGTCTGTCTGTCTGTCTGTCTGTCTGTCTGTCTGTCTGTCTGTCTGTCTGTCTGTCTATCTGTCTGTCTGTCTGTCTGTCTGTCTGTCTGTCTATCTATCTGTCTGTCTGTCTGTCTGTCTGTCTATCTATCTATCTATCTATCTATCTATCTATCTATCTATCTATCTATCTATCTATCATCTAATCATCTCTCTCTCTCTCTATCTATCTATCTATCTATATCTATATATATCTATAGCTATATAGATATATAGATATATAGATATAAACAATACATACTGTAAAGCTTAGCTTACTAGTCTTTTGTATACTAATACATTTTTTCAGCAATATCTTCTCCATATTATTCATTTTGGTCATTTACTTTGTATTTATTACAAAGCTTTTGTTTCTATTAAACTATAGCAAAGTAAAAGCAAGAGTGGGTTGGGCAAGTGGGCCAGTGGCACACTGGATTTTAGTCTGAAATTGGCCAGAGCTATCCCAGGTACTGAATTCCACTCCCCCACAAATAGCCCCAGCACGTTGAATGTTGAATAGCTTCTTTCATATCCTTTCGCTAAAACCTAGAGCGGCTTCACTACCCCTCACAAAACCAGAGTCTCCAGACTCCACTGGTGCAAGGCAGTGATTCCCCAAATGAGACACTCTAATCAATGTAGTCATAGGTTGTAGAGGAAGAACTGTGTAAGTCTATGAAACTGAGAATTCTTTTCTGTCTGTTTTGGCTTTTGAATCCTGTGGCTTCAGAAGAAAACAGGCAACCGGAGGTTCAATCCATTCAGTTTATTCTCCGAGGGACCAAAAAAGGTAGGTCTAAAGGGCTGAATCCTAGCTTTGGTGTAATCTAGACAGTAGCTGTGTTAGTCTGTTGTAGCAAAAGAGAAATTGGAAGTCAGGTAGCACCTATAAGTGGAACTAGTTTTTATTTTTCATAAGCTTTTTACTCTCCAAACACGCTTTTTCAAATGAATAGAGCAGCTTTGTTTAGTTTAGGTAAAGGTTTCCCTTGACAATTTTTGTCCAGTCGTGTCCGACTCTAGGGGGCGGTGCTCTTCCCCATTTCCAAGTCATAGAGCCAGCGTTTGTCCGAAGACAATCATTCGTGGTCACGTGGCCAGTGTGACTTAGAGGTGGTCCCTATTTATCTACTCGCATTTGCATGCTCTGAAACCACTATGTTGGCGGGAGCTGGGACAAGCGACGGGCGCTCACTCCATCACATGGATTTGATCTTACACTTGAAGATCTACAGACCTTACAGCACAGAGGCTTCCGCAGTTTAACCCACAGAGCCACCACGTCCCTTGTCTAGCTTAGAGATGTAGTAATTAAATGCTGTATTTTTCCATTTATAAGATGTCCTCCCCATTTTCTAACCCCCAAATTAAGAAAACTTAGCTTTGAGAATTCAGCCTCTTGGCTCAGAAGACTCACGAGTCCCTGTTGCATCTGAGCCTACAGGTTCCACCTCCAAGGAGGTGTGTTCCAATTGGTTTGTTCCGTATCCGCTGTCGTCAGTTCCATAAGGCTTGTGATGGAGGAAGCTAAGCCTTATGACTGAAGGAAGCCTGTTTACAGAGGCAAGGTACAGGCAGTTTTGTTCTCTCTGTGTTCTCAGCACGTGGCGCACAAAATGGCTACAGAAACTAAGCTGGAGTCCCTTCCTTGTGCTGCCCTGAGCGATTTCACCCTTCTCTCCACCCAACCTCCTCTGCCAAAGAGTCGTTAGTCACAGCCTGTTGCCCTCTCTGATTATTTCCCCTTTGATTCCCCATCACAGGATGATTACAGCTGTCGCCTCACATTCAGAGAGAGGGGCTTTGCTTTTAACCTCACATTTTTCCTCTCTCAGCCATCAATAGGCCTGCTGGGAATAGCGCAGACCTCAGTCTTGCTGCCAGGGCAATGTGGAGAGGGGGTAGGGTTCATTAGGCTGGCAGGGTGCCTGTCACCTGATCTGTATCCACACAGCTTACAAAATGGAAGCCACTGGCATATTGGGTGGGTGGCCAGAATCTGGCCACCCACCAGATTGGTACAAATCTGTGGGATTTTCTCAGGTAGTCTTCTAATACTTTAAAAAAAAGATTGTAAAATCTCGCCCTCTCTTCAATTACAGTACTTCCAAAGTGAAAAAAAA